TGCGTGATCTATATTCTCCACCTACAACTGTTACATTGTTTAAATACAGATGAAGTTAAATATAAAAGTTAATATTCCTGAAGGGCCAACATTTTGTGTTAGAACAAATAACATAAATCGACTGTTATTGAAACAGAAACGTCGTAAATTTTGACATATGGAATATTTTCTTAAGATTACAGTGATATAAGTTTCGATGGGTCTATCCCTAGTGATAAGGGAAACAAGAAAAGTATCTGCCACAAACTCAATGTGGTTGAAATTGAAATTTTTGTCTACTATTTCTACAACTACAGTCATTGTCACACATTACGCTTATGACATCCTTCTTTATTGATTATTTTCTAACATTCAGGGACGTTGCATTTAAAAAAGTTTATTTACGAACGTTTCCAATGATGTTCGATCCAATAAAGAATTCTGGAGATTCCCTAAAATTCACACAATTTCTATATTTAATATTTGTTTCTACTTCTAAAAATAAAAGTGGAAGGTGGAATGTGAAAGAGTGAGAAACACACTGTACAGGGTCATATAGAAAACAGTGGAGATAAGTAAGCACTTTTATTAGACATTCTTTCACTTTTATTTTCTAGAAAAACTATTTAAACACAGTTAATACTTAGATACATATACGTTTGTATGACTTACAAGGTAATTAACAACATGGTAAATGTTGTACTTATACTATCTAAATGTTAAGTAGGTGTCAACATTTCTAAGAAATATTATCTACATATATGTCCAGATACGGATAAAGTTGATAACTCTACAGAAACATATTCAGTCCGTACGGTATTAGTTGAGATAGAATTCCAAGAAGGCCCCTGCGTCACTTTATCTTGGAATTAACCGCAATTGACACCCGAGGTAGACATTGGCGGCATGGCGTTCACCGTAGTAGCTTGCAGTGCATACTGTGTTTTGCAGTTACGAAGTCGTGTTTCTTCGTAAGTTTCTTGGAATTCTATTTCAACAGTTATTGTAGGGACTGTATTTTAAATATAATTTAAATTTGTAGTAGGTACCTTCATTTTTTCTCATAATCATTTAATAAATCCCATAATATTCGTAGTATACTAATAAGTTAACTGGTGTTGTCGAATCAGCATTTCAAGAGAATTCAAATGTAAAAAATGGATTAGGTTCTTCTTTACTATTTTAAATAGAATATTAAAAAGTTTATTATAGTGAAAGTTGTATACTACAAAAAGCAGATTAGAAATTTCATACATACTTTAGTCCAACTTATGAACAATTTTTTTCTTAAATAGCTTTGAATAGCATTCAAGAAACACGTCAAGAAAGGTAATAATATATTTCTTAATATATCATAATCAGGTTCGGATACAATGGCCCCAAAAAAATCAAAGATCCTAAAGAGAATAAATTAATAAAAATAAAAAATTTTTTATTTAAAAACGTCTTTCTTGACTGCATAACTTTGTCTTTTTAGTAAAATTAATTAATGAAGATTAAAATTTTATGTCTCATTTTAAGACATCAACTATTCAAACGCCCCCCCACCCCTCCAAAGTTCATCACTGGTTCAGCCCCTGATTATAATGATCTTTTTTATCAATCAACACCTAATAAGAATTTTTAATTAGAAATTATTTACAGCGTTAAATTAAATCAACATGGTACTGTTCAATGTCTTTTTTAATTTAAAATTCATCCGAACAATAATAATTAAATAGTTCAATTCAAAGCAATGAAATATTACTATATTAATATTATTTCGAGTAATAAAACATATCTATAATTTAATACAATACTCGGTTTATATTCGTAGTGTACTTCAAAGTGTAGGCACTCATTATAAAAATTACTAATTTGAACCATTTATTAAAAAGAATTGAAATTTTCAGAATTCGTTAAGTTCTGAAGTAGCTTAAATTCTGAATATTTGTCATTATTTGTCCTAATTGAAAAGGGAAAGGGTCATGGAAAATACGACTTGAATTATAAATATAAAAATATATAAAAACGCAATTGTCTAGCCATTCCAATACTTATCAGATTACTAGATTGTTTCATGCTTATTTACTAATTTATTGAAGGTCAAATTAATTTTTTTCCAATATAAGTCTAATTGTAAGTTCCATTAATTAATAGATGTTTTTTAAAAAATAACTTATCAAAGTATTTGATTTTGTGCTCAACATTTTGCATTATCAACAAATTGAAAAATCAAATTCCTAAAGATCCAAAGCTTTGTCTACATCATATGCAGTTATATCAAATAAATATGATAAGAAACAGATAAGGAAACAATTTTCAATTTTTTAAATTCAATATAAATTAATAATTTTAATCACTGTTTATATGTGGCGTATTTGTTTCAATTATTAAAGGTTGCTGAGATAAAATGAATATAAACATCAATAAATATATTCAAGGTCACTTGTAATTTTAGCTGGAAAATATCCACTATGCGTTACAAGATAAAAGCCAAAACTTTGTACCTACAGTTTTTATAGAATCTGAACTGATACAGGTAAATCTTTATATGATGGCTTCACGGCTACTGAGATATAAAAATTGCTTATTGATATTATCAGAAAAACATTATTTTTTCTTCTTCTTAATCAGATACTTATGTAAATAAACTCATTTATTTATATTACAACATCTATATATGTTATTTTAAATATATAAAAGGTGAATGATATACATATTCTGAGAAATGAGTTTTTTAAAGTGGCTGTCAGTCAAGTTTAGACTAAAATATTTTTGATTTTATGCTGCTGGAGCAATTTTTAGTTTTTTTGAATTGCCTCTGGTAATGACCAATCGGTTTTTTAACCAAACAGGTTCATTAGACAAAAGTTGCATCAAACTGAAAAGTTAATCTGGATATTAAAACATAAGTTAAATCAAACTCAATCCGTTTGATCAAAATTTTTTAGCAAAAAGTTTACAAACAGTATAACTGGTCCTCGTAATGGCCAAACATCTGTTTATTTTTATCCACACTAGCTCTCATTAGACGAAAGTAGCATCAAACTAAAAAGTTAATGTGGATATTAAAATGTATGTCAAATCAAGCTCAGTTTATTCAAACAAGCGGCCTTAGCGCAAAGTTTACAAAATTTATGACTGGCTCGCCTAATGATCAAACATCTGCTTTTTTAACCAGACTGGTTTTCATTGGACGAAAGTTGCATTAAACTAACAAGTTAATGTGGATATTAAAATGTAAATCAAATCAAACCCAATTTATTGAAACAAACGATCTTATCAAAAGGTTGACAAGATTTTTGGCTCACCTAATGATCAAACAAGCGTCTTTATTTTAATCAGACTGGTTTTCATTATAAAAAAATTACGTCAAACTAAAAGTTAACGTTGATTTTAAAATTTAAGTCAAATTCTTTTATTTATTCAAATAAACAATCCAATCAAAAGATTTACAAAATTTATAACTAGCTCTCGTCCAAACATCTGTATTTTTTTAAACCAGATTAGTTTTCATTAGACGAAAGTTGCATCAAATCAAGTTAAATCAAATGCAGTTTATTTGATCAAAAACCTTAGCAAAAATCTAACAAAATGTATAATTGACTCTCTTAATCAACAAACATCTGTTTTTTTATCAGACCCGTTTTCATTAGACGAAAGTTGCATCAAACTAAAAAGTTAACATGGATATGAAAATTTAAGTCAAATTGAACTCGGTTTAAAGCAAACTGAACTGAACAAAAGCAAAAGTTCACAAAATATATAACCAGTTCTTCTAATGTTCATCTATATCAATTATTATAACTATACAGGGTGTAGATAAATAAGTGTGAAAATTTTCAGGAGGTCATTAGGTACCTGTGGAAAAATAATGTGGGTCTTTCATATAACAAAATTTCATTGGAAGATCTCCTTAAAGAGGGTGCCAAAAAAGTAGTTTTTAATTTTTTTTGGAATGCCAAAAAAGTGATAGAAATGAAATTTAGATGCTCATTTTCTGCTATCAAGAAGACGCTCAGTAAACAATTTGTTGATTTTCCCCTACAGTTGTAAAGAGTAGAAAAAGCCACGCCTAAGACTTGTATCATCCGTAACTTTTTTTTTCTTATTACTACCTTACTATTTAAAAATTCATGTCAAATAGCCCGAATCAATTTAAATCTCACCTGTAAATTTTTCGTAAAATTAACGATTTCTGAGCATAAATATTATTTCAAATCAATCACATCGCATGATTCGCATAGGATAGAAATTTTAATGAACTGTAATTTATATAGTAGGCGGCTATCTCGTTGACATTTTGAAATGTCAACTTAATTATTATAATTAATGCAACTTTCTGCATTAGAATACACCTTCATCTTGATGAATTTGCACAAAAAGTTCTCGAAACTATCACAGTGTATATTGCCATTACAAAATGTCAACGTGACAGCGGCCTACTAGATAAATTGCAGTTCGATACAATTTTTACCTTATGCCAATCATGCCATATAATTGATTTTAAATATTTTTTTTGCTTAGAATTCGTTCAATTTACGAAAAAATTACAAAAGACCTTTTTTTGCTTAGAATGAACCAGGCTATCTGAAATTAATTTGTAAATGGTAAGGTAGGTAGTAATAAGAAAATAAGTTACATATGAAACAATTCTTAGGGTGCTTTTTCTAGCCCTTATAACCGTAGAGGAAAATCAACAAATTCTTTACTGAGTGCATTCTCGATATCAGAAAGTATCTACTTAATTTCGTTTCTATCACTTTTTTGGTATTTCAGGAAAAAAAACTACATTTTAGGCACACTCTTCAAGCGGTTGTACCTTCACGAGATTTTATATATATATATATATAAAAGACCCACCATATTTTTTCACATGGAATCACCCTTTGAATTTATTCGCACTTAAGATACCTTACTTTTGTCTAGCTTTTCACATTATAAAAGTAAATATAAATAAAACCGTTCCACTTGTACTTTTCAAATAAATATTTTAAAGTGTTCTCTTTTACATATACACGAACTAGAAGAAACTTTACCTTTAATCTGCCTGCCCAGGTTATCGCAGGGCGCCTTGTCCAGCGCGCACAAGAGCTGCTTTTCCACATAGTTGTTTCCCGTCAGACCCCTCTGACCTTGCACCTCCACGGCTATGATGAATGAAAGAACAAGAGAAACCACCGTGTATCTGACCGTCATTTCTTGGGCTTAGGGCGCAGACTGAGGGTACCGCCAAGAAAACAACGATTTATATTCAAGGAACTCCTTTCACAGACAACACTGATGCTGGCCTACGAATATTTTCTTGTCGAATACGGAGTTATCTGGTGGGAGGGATCTACGGATCTTACGGAAGGATTAGGAAACAGCGACAATTCCATTGTTTAAGTAAAGACGCAGCTATGTGCGACTGTCTTCTGGAGGAAGCAGATTTGGCTGATAATGCAAAATTGCTGTTGAAGAAAGAGACATTGTCTAAGTGCAATAAGTTAGTGTAATTTCTTAATGTTCTCAATGTTAATTAAATACGTTTCTTTAAGATTTTTATGAAAAAATTAATGTGTTATAAGGTCTAACTTCTTATGATTATAAAGGCATAAAGCTTAGAAAAGTTACGTCTATTAAATCAGAGGTTCCATAAATGTTTATTGAAATGTTAATGCTTCCATTACAAACACATTTTTGGTGGTAAAACAAAAGGATAAGGTAATAAGGCTTATTTATAGAGTGTAAGTAAGTGCGAAAAAATTGGGGAAGTGATTTTTCTTTGAAAATTGAAGACAATTTTTCATGTAAAAGCTCCTCTCCATTTCCCTACGGATTTATGGCCTTTCAAACGGAGAGAGAATTTAGTTTTTTTTTTCCTTTAATATGGAGAAAGTTGCAAAAGTGAAATTACCTACACCAGTGATTCCCAAACATTTTGAAGATGCCACCCCTTCTTAAGTCAGATATTTGGAATTGGAAAATTGCAGATAGAATCTGTAGATATAAGACATTAGTTTCCGAAACATGCACATATTTATTTTTTACGTTTTAAACATGTAAAATAAATTTATGGGAATATACATATTTTATAAAATCTTTAGTGATCCTTTCAATCTTTTCCTCTAGTGGATCGCGACCCACATTTTGGGAACCATTGACCATTACTTTATCTACTATCAAAAGCGTATCTGCTAGATAATTTCTTGATTTGCGCCTTAGTTTACAAGAGGTAGAAGTAACCACGCGTAGCTTTTTATGATCCTTAAATAGTATATTACATACCGATGAGGGAAGTGTTTCATTACTGTCGAGAGATTAACTATAATCTCGAGATATTAATGAAAACTTCCCTCCGAGGTATGTATACTATTTTATTTACAACCACATCGTTAGTTGAAAATTCTATTTCATATTTTTAAATGTTGTAAAAATTCCGAAATATGTGTCATTTTATTGTTTTGACACCATTCAAAATTGTGCAGGTTGCGTTGAACAAACATGTACAGGTGGCAGTGCCATGCCTAGCAACGACGCGTGACAGATACAAACAATTTTGAATTCTTGTTCGATCCTTCAAATTACCATTAATTTTAATAAATAATATATGATAAATTATTTAAATGTTATTGTTGTTAATTAATTGCCCTGTTGTTTCTATATAAGAATTTGTTTAACAAATATATTACTTAAATAAATATTTTGCTTTATTGAACGAGTTAGGGAAATGAGTGAGGGAAATGGGTGAGGGAAATAGAAGAGGGAAGTAGACGTAGGTAATGTGACACTTTCAAACCTTCAATGACATTAGTAATGTCAAAATTACAGGTATGGTTGTAAATAAAAATATATTTTCAATACACATTTATCCTTTCCACACTCTTCTGTTTTTTTTTTCGTAAATGTAATAGTTTTTTAGCAAAAAATGGAATAGGCCATAGTACAGATAGGATTATGCTTCATGATAGAAATGTTTTACAATAATAACCCAGGTCAACATTTAGTTTGAAAAAGAACATTGGACTCTACCTAGGTTCCCAGGGGTATTTGGGGTCACTGATTCCGATGCTGAGATTAAGCTCTATTACATCGAGTTCAAGGTCATTTGAAGGTCAATCTAAGAAAAAGTGCTTGAAAAATATGAAAAAGTTCATACGTAGGTTTTTTAGGTCGCTAGGTCTGAATCCGATGTCGGTTGACCTCTATCACCTCATGTTTAAGGTCGTTTGAAGGTTAAAGTAAGAATAGAAGGTGAAAAAAATTTGCTCACTTGCTTACACTTGTTTGTTTATCTGTCTGCCTTTTTACCTGCACACCTGTTTGTTTGCTTGTTTGTCTGTATTTATCGTCCGCCTGTAATTTCTGTATGTCTATCTACCCGATATCCTGCCTTTCTGTCGGAAATTTTGTCTATTTTCTTGTCTGACTAAATGACTAAATGTTTCTATATTTTTGTTTTTCTGTCAACCTATGTCTAAATGTCTAATGACAGTATGTCTGCCTTCTTGTCAGTTTGTGTTCTTACCTTTCTGTCTACCACACTCTCTAGGTTTTGCGTGATTGTACAAAAACTTTGTTAAAAAACTTTTGAAAGCCTTCAACAAATCAATTCGCTTCTCTCAGTATAAGTGTATTAATCGAAATTCGGGCGAGAGCGTTCCGTTGTTCCTGGAATGATCTTCGAATCGCTTTCCTTTTATATGCTTTATTTGTGTCTCTTTAGATTTCATTCTGCTAACATATTTTTCCCCCAAATACCTCGTTATCTTTGTTCAAATTCATTCAGGTATTCTTTTTTTTAGTTCTTCACTAAAAGCTCCCAGATTTTCTGGGAACCAATCAAGATGAGAATGAAGAAAATGAAGTTTCATATTCATATGACATTTAGACAGAGGATGGTAGAAAAACAGACAGAAACATTTAGTCATTTAGTCAGACAGGAAGAAGACAAAGTTACCGACAGAAAGGCAGATGGAAAGGCAGGATGTAAGGTAGATGGACATAAGAAAAAATACAGGCAGACGATACATACAGACTAACCAGCAAACAAACAGGTGTGTAGGTAAAAAGGCAGACAGAAGGACCTTTGAACAAAGATATGCGTTTTCGATTAAAAATTTAAGGAGAACTTTCAATTACCGCAAAAGTCTAGTAATGCAGTTTATCAATTCTTGAACATCTAGATATAGATTTTAAATTAAATGTTCAAGGAGGCCAAAACTTTTACGCTAAACTTTGACGCCTAAAGTTACATTTTCAAGTACTGAAAGTGATTCTTCAAGAAAGTGAATGTCCTAGAATACCAATCCACACATTCAAAAGGAACTGTTGCCGATAATGAGCTTCGGCTGAAGCATGTGGACTTTCTTCTGCCATACTTGATTATTATGAAAATTAATTATTATTTTGAAAAATTGGCTCCGTCTGTTAACAAGATTTGTACCAAGCTCAGGATTTTGCAGTATCTATTCCAGAATCCAATGAGAAAATGCAAGACGTTGTAGAAAAAGAACATGAACTCGAACGTGAAGAGATATGAAAGGATTTTTAGTTGCCAGTACCAGCCGTACAATGTTGGTTGCCCAGGCTGGGCGGTCACGTGGCTTGTAATCATTTATGAAGGCTCTGTAGATTTTTTTTTCTCTTATTTGAAGAGCCTTAAATCTACAGTGAAAGACGGAAAGATTTCTTTTACATGAAAAACCAACTTTCATTTTCAACGAGGATTCACCTCCTTAATTTTATGCACTTGTTTAGTTACATTGTGTATATATTTTTTATTTTAGAACGTGAGATTATGAATAAGTAATAGCTGTTTTACATTGACAATTTATTGATGAATAAATTGACGAAGTTCTTCATGAATTATTTCACGAATTGATTGGTAAACAGTGTGGTTTTACACTGCTACAGACTTTATTAAGTTTTTTGACACATGAATCAGTTCTACCAACAAATAAAAGAAGCAAATAAATTTAAAAAATGTCACCTTTCCACTCATAATTGTATTAATACAACAGCGGTACGATTTTGACACATATTATATAAATATTAGGGTTTGTAAGTAACAAATCAGTAAAAACAATGCAAAACTAGCACGACGCCACACAATTATTTACATATTCCAATAACATAACCTCATTACTGATCTGAGGGTGGAAATCTGTTGGGTTGGCACTTCCGAACTTCACGAAGAAATTGACGAAAATTAGAACATGCTCTAATTCGTCAAGAACTTGTTGAATAAATTCATGAAGTTATTTGACAGCAGATTTGGTGCATTACACTCGTCCAATTTCTTAATGAAGCGACTTCATGAATTAATTGATCAATAAATTGTCAATGTAAAACAGCTATTATAGATGCAAAACTAATCTAATTAAAACTAATACTGTTTAATAATTCAATGGCACTGTGAGAAGATTAATAAAAACTTGACTTCTATTACAAATACTAAGTGAAAGACAGTCATATGGAAATCCTTTATATTTCCTTTGCTAATAATATATGTACTTTACTACATTAAATTATATAACCTATGGACCTGTAGTTTGATTGAGTTCCAAAGGGCATTTGGAGCATCGTATTACATATAAAAATGTTTTATAATAACTGCAGTTAGAGATGTACGCTGACCTTCACCTGATCATATTATACAAACATTTTATATTCAAATTTGCCACACATCAAACAAGTGTTATTACGAATTACACTTCATAAATTTTGTATTGCACTAAAAGTTTTATTGATCAATCATTTCGTAAAAATGAATGGAACAAGGAAGTTATTGTTTACGACATATCAAGGGTTAAAAATGATTGGGTTCTAAATAATAAAAATACATTTTTATAGTAGAGTATTTCAAAACCTTGTACTTAGTGAATGTGGGACCCATATTATTTCAGTTGTAACTATAACTATAACAAGGTTGCAAAAATTACTTTATTGTCCGTAAATTGTTGAATATATTTATGGAAAAGATCAAGGATTAGATTGGTATCAACGATATTTTTTAAAAACGACACTTTAGAACCTTACGACCATTAAGAAATGTATAAGTGATAATTTTTAAATTTAAGATGAAATAAAATACGGTAGTGTCAGATTTCCATTCTTTAGAAAAATTACCAAAATGCCAAAAGTGATCGTAAAAAATTATTATAACAATTTTCTCTGTTAATTCAATAACTTTTGAAATCCATATTATTCATATGTTTCTTTATTAATATCAACAGTGTAGCGTGATGTTATGGGAAGGTGAAAGGTATTTATTAAAGTATAATAAATGTCCATTAAATA